CCGTGGGGCAAATGTGTGTGGATACCTTGGCCCCGCGGTACAGCTTCCTGGGGCTGCCACGTGATGCCCGTCTGCTTCCCCCCTAAGTTTTGCTTCTATGTTGAGTAGTATCTGGGGCCAATAAAGAGATGAGTTACCCTTGCCTGTAACCATATCTCAATGTAAGCTTTAACCACACTCAAAAAATAAAGCACAAGTTGGTTGTGCACATGATTCAGGAACATAGAATGAATGACTCCTTGAGGCTAAACAGGAGGTTATGTTGACAAATGTACCTGCATATTTTCTGAAGGCTGAGGGATCCTGTTGCACCTTTCAGACTAATTGAATGAAAGGCATTGTAAGCTTTCCTAGACTTGGTCTTTTACCAGTTAGTCTCAAAGGTGCTACAAGATCGCTTTGGATACTGATATTATTGACAGAGATGACTGTGTCTCTGATAGATACATTCTGCTGCAGAGCAAGTAACAGCTCCTATAGAAGGATGTTTTAATTCAGGAAAACAATATAACATAAAGAGTATAAACAATAATTTTTAAAGTTGGGGATCCTGCTGTATCATATTTACCTTAGCTCTAAAATGATTTTTTTAAAAAGAGGATAGCCTACTATATGAGTAGGAAAGTGAAATAAACCTAGAGAGGAGTTACTATATTGCCTAATTGCTCCCTCAGAGCAAATAAGAATTATCTTGTTGACTGATGTGAACCAGAAGAAAACTTTGGGTCTGAGCCATAGCTGACCCATTATGCTTTTATAACTTGGGTAGCTCTGGAGATGGAAGAAGATAAACTGGAAGCTAGAGGAAGAAAAGAAGTAGAGCTTGGAAAGGTTATTTCAAAACTTAATGTATCGGTGTCACTTGCCCTTGTTAGCTGACAAAAGCAATGTGTTAAAAAGTAAATCCGCTACTTATAGTGCATTATTCTCTAGTTTGAAAGCACCATTCACTGGACTGGACTAGTAGCCAGTTAAAGTAATTTCATCCTCCAGGGAGGGTAAATGTGCTGGCAGGCTGCCATATTTGTTGCTGTAGCTCTTGGGTTTTCTAAAAATATCCAAATGATATTTGTTTTGTTGGTTTTCCATCCACAGGGAACATGTGTGATGTATCTGTTACCCTTTTCACATACTGTCTTCAAACATACAGATACCTCCTCAAAGGTAACGAAATGGAGTTCTCACTAAATAAAAATGCTAAATAATCATTTCAGTCAGCTGTCACAAACATGATGCCCTTCATATATCTTGGAATACAACTCCTGTAATTCATGTGAATCATCAGTGGACATCGAAGCTGAGACTTGGGAGAGATATAGTCCAGCATATCTGGATGTCAATGGATTGTGGAAGGCTGATGTAGGTTAATACTACTGGATACTCAGTGTTTCCTCTTTTTTAGAGACAGAAATTGAGACTCTGTTGTATGGCTTGAAAAAGCCCACAAAGGTTAAGTAGTCCCTGTGCCTTTACAGACTGCCAGAAATAATGCAGCTTGAGTCCACTTTAACTGCCCTGGCTCAGTGCTAGGGAATCATGGGAACTATAGTTTATTGTGGCACCAGCGCTCTCTGACATAGAAGGCTCAATGTCTCAGAAAAAACTACAGTTCCCATGATTCCCTAGCACTGAGCCAGGGCAGTTAAAGTGGACTCAAGCTGCATTATTTCTGGCAGTCTGTAAATGGCCCCTGTTTTGCTACCATCTCATTTCTGTATGAAGTCCTGTGAAGGGTGTCTCTTCACATATATGTGCTTTTTTTATATGTCAGGCCACCAGGTGAGAAAGCATGGATAGCAAAGTTTATAGTAAAATGATCTTCAAGAGCTGAGGATCTAAGTAAAAAATTGTATTTGGATGAAATATGGATTGGCTGGATCCACTGTGACATATTTCAGAAACTTTTCATGACTTGTAAGGTAGAGTTCTTTGTCTTAGGATATATCCACACTGCAGAAATAAAGCAGTTTGACACCACTTTAACTACCATGGCTCCATCCTGTGGAATACTGAGATTTGTAGTTTGGCAAGATATTCAGTCTGGTCTGTCAGAGGGCTGTGTTGCCTCACCAAATTACAAATCCTAGGATTCTGTAGAATAGAGTCATGGCATTTAAAATGGTATCAAATGCTTTTCTTCTGTAGTGTGGGTACACCCTCATTTTCAAGGTACAGTAGTATAACCAAACATTTCTAGTACGTGTTTGTATGGAAGGCAGAACTGGCACCTACCTTAGGAAGAGTGAGTGGAAGGGGAAACATTGGTTAGATATTGGAGGATAGAACTCCGGGTGCTTAGAAGCTTTTCCTGCTCCTTAAATTAGATTCCATCCTCAAATGTCCTCAATCAAGCTTCAACTATCACTTGAGATTTGTCTATATAAAATGCAGGGGAATGGTCTCATTGTTCACCCCAGGCAGCAAAGTACAATAGGTCAGCTCTGGTGGAAGGAAGGCTGCATCTTGTGACTGTCATTGCTGTGTGCCTCCAAGTCAAGGTGAACCTATCATAGAAAATCATTTTTGACTAAGGTGAACCTATCATAGAGTTTTCTTGGTAAGTTTCTTCAGTCAGAGAGGACTTGCCATTGCTGAGGCTGAGAAAATTTGACTTGCCCAAGGTCACCCAGTGAGTTTTTATGCACAAGTAAGGAATCAAACCCTGATCTCCAGAGTTGTAGTCCAGTGCTCAAACCACTATGCCACACCAGCTCTTGCAACTTATGATACTGGTTGAGAATGTTGTGAAAAAAGCAATGCAACAGCACTTTCGTGATGAACATAAAAGCACAAGCGAGTTTTAAAAGATTCAGGCCATGCTGTAACAGACTTCTCTGTGAATAAAAATTATCAATCAGGCCTATTAGAGAGAACTGTATCTGTGTTGGAGCCATTGGAAGAGATTAATCTAAGACATCCAAGGAGTATCAAGCCTATCTTTTATCTGCTGTAAGATCAAAGGCACTCCCAGTAAGATCTTGTATGCTCTTCTTCTTTGCACACCTTTTAATTAAACCAGCATGTGTATGGGAAGGTGTCTAGATAAGAGCACCAAGATACTGGGAGACTGATGTTTAGAAATAATTGCCTTTACAAAGACCAAAGTAGATCTCAATTGACCGGTAAAAGTTGCTTGGCATGATTACTGTCTTTCAGTTCCAGGTTACCACTGAGAGATCAAGTGGATACTTTGCTACTGAATCACTTCACAAAGAACATGAGAAAGCTTTTGCTGGAATGAACCAAACATCAGTAAAATCTATATTCAGCTGCTATTAGCAGCCAGGCAAATGCCACTCTATAAATTTACAGAAAGGGTGAGAAAGGGTGCTGGTGGGGCAAGCCTTTTTTCTGCCAAGCCCTTCAGATTCACTTGGGCACCTTTTTTTCTGCCCCCCTTGTGGTTACAGTTTTTAAAAGTCATTATTCAATTTTACTTTCCCATTTTGCAAAAGGAACTAAAAGAGCAATCTTTTAGTTATTTTTTTAAAAAAATCTCAATTCTACATACGAGGAGGTATCGTAAAGTTTAAATGATCAACTTAAAAAAATTGTTATAAAGTTTGTTTTGATTTGTAGTTGTTAATTTATCTCTACAAAGTCATCATCCAGATTTGCACATCTTCCTCAGTATCTTTTGACCCTCTGAATATCGTTATTGTATAAATCTTCAGACCGCACCTTACACAACTCTTCAACTTCATGAATGACATCATCTGTGTTGTGAAATTGACAACCCCACAATGGATTTTTCATTTTTGAGAAAATTTGGTGATGATGACACTGTCAAAATTTCATCAATATACCATAATAACTTCTGGGTGATAATTATTACTTTATGATATCCCCTTGTACTGGCAGCCTATGGTGAAGAAATAGTCTCCTTTGGGACACTTCATTTCCACTTCAATACCTATAAAAGAGCATAAGATACAGCACATGCCAGCATTTTTATCATTTAACATTACCCATCCACCATTTAGTCGTGAGTCCATTCTATGAAAGCAACACTTTTACTGAAAAAGAAATCCTGTGACTGCTCATTATGTTTTAGTGGTTTGAGTTTTGGACTATGTCTCTGGAGAACTGGGTTTGAGTCCCCACTCAGCCATGAAGGCTACTGGGTGACCCTGGGCAAGTCACACTCTCTCAGCCTCAGAGAATGTCAATGGCAAACATCCTCTGAAGAAACACGGCATGAAAACTCCTTAATAGATTCACCTTAAAGTTGCTATAAGTCGGAAACGACTTGCAGGCACACAACAACAACAATGATGGAGCTATACTTTTGTTATTAGACAGAAGGAACTAATTACAAATAACTAATTATTTGTAACTAGTTACTTCTCATCTCAGAGCAGTACCACTTTGGCATATGAATGAAAACAAGCATCAAAGAAAGCCTGCAGCCCCAGATGCCTCATCTTCAGCCAACTTACACTTTTTCTGGCCTCTTCCCTCTGTTCTCTACTCATTCAAACTGCAAGAACTGCAGTTTTCCACCACTAATCTCATAGGTATCTGCTCTACTGGCAGTAGTGAATCATCCATTCAGCAAAACCCCACAATCTTTAAGAAATATCAACACTTTATTGTTTAAGGCTCAGCCACCTATTGAGTTTCACTTTGGCAGAAGGGGGAACCCTAGGGCTCAACAGATTCACATTAATCTGTCTTTCCTTCTCTCTGTGCGAATGTGTGTTTACTGGCAGAAATGCACTGAATTACTTGTCCTGACAAGAACTGCACATTTTTCACAGAAGCAATTTTCGGTCTGGCACTCCAAAACTTTTTCAAGAGGTGTGGCTTCTTCTGGAACAAAAGCTATGAAGTCACACCCGTTTTAATACTTGGGCTGTGGGTCCTACCCTTGGGAGTGGCAGTGTTCCTGTTTTTCCTCTCCTTCTCACTTCTGGGAGCCTTTCACACTCTTCAGTGAACAAATTATCCTCAAAAATATTAGACACACCGAAGACATAGGTCAACTCCCACCTAGCATTCTAGTGGAGAGACGTCACTGTTCTTATTGCTGTTATAGTTTCTAGTTACCATAAATGTTCACTACATGCATCACTGTACTTCAAAGGACTGCATTTCAGGACCAAAGAGATGTGCTCTGAGCTCAGCAAGGCCCAGGATTTAAGGAGTGCCAACTGATACATGGCATTACTCCAGCTTTATAATTATACAACAGGTGTGCATTTTTTGTATCAACAAACAGCATGGAGTTTGGAGCCTGAACCAACCATAATGGAATCTTTATTGCATCTCCAATTTCCAGATTAAGGGGTCATTCAGACATCTTTTTTTTTTTTTTTTAGTGCAATGATGTGAATAATCTCATTCACACATTCTGGGTTTGTTATTCACACTGTGGAACTGCATCAAGGCACATCTCTGCAAGTTCGGTTGCTCACATGTGCAAGCATTCAAATAAAGATGGATTTGACAATGCAAATGCATTTGGAACACTTTCAAGGCATGCAGAGTTTTATCCCAGGTCTATTTGTGGCTATTCACATCGGTTATTCACACTACTGACAACATGGATCTTTTTTTTAAAACTCAGGGGAAAACCCAGTATCTATTATCCCAGTTAGGGCCTTTACAGACTGCCAGAAATAATGCAACTTGAGTCCACTTTAACTGTCCTGGCTCAGTGCTAGGGAATCATGGGAACTGTAGTTTTTTTCCTGAAATATTTAGCCTTCTCTGTCAGAGAGCTCTGGTGCCACAATAAACTACAATTCCCAATATTCCCTAGCACTGAGCCAGGGCAGTTAAAGTGGTCTCAAGCTGCATTAATTCTGGCAGTCTGTAAAGGGCAGTCCCCCCACCCAACTTAATTGGGTGCATTTGGGATGGGTGTGAAAAATGGAGATTCAGCTCAGATTCATCATTGGTTAATTTAGTACTGTGAATAACCCCCGAGAAGCATCTTCTGGAAAAAGTATCCCCAAAAAAATCCAAGATGCCAACCACACATCATTAAATAAATACAGCTTTAAAATAAGGTCCATGTTCAAGCTTAATGTAGACATGGAAAGGAGTAGATTGAGGTGGGGAGGGGATGGTATGTGAAAAATTAGATGTGAAATTTATAGATCTCGGACCTCCCTTTCTTTTTTCAGCATCTGTATAGCCTGCAGATTGCTTCAAGACAGAGAAAGAAAAATTACCAGATGAATGGGTAGGATGGCTCCTAACTAACAACAGCACTCTAGCATATTAAATCCAAAGATATGCAGCTATTTTGTCTTTCCTATCTTAACAGATTTTTTTTTTGTGGGGAAAAAAGAGATGAAAGAAGTGAGATGACACATGCAAAGGTCCAGGCATGTAGCTTTGAGGAAGACAAAATGAGGACATTGCCCCTCAATAAGATTTCTACCCCACGTGAAATTTTCCTTCAATCCCAAAATTTTTAACGTTGGTTAAAATTTGCTCACACCTAGAACTCATGCACTTTCTGTGTTTGCATTCCCTTGGTAACTTTCTGCATTTTTTTTTCATGATCAAACTGTATTTCTGAATGTTCAATTTACATTTTAAGGTACTGCAATAATAGAAATTTCATTGGGCCCAGAAATCTTATTAAAAGGCAATGCCCCCTGTTTCCCCTGTAGGTATACCTCTAGGACAGGGGTAGGCAACCTAAGGCCCAGGGGCCGGATGCGGCCCTATGAGGCCTTTGGACCGGCCCCAGGCTGGTCCTGCCGCTGCTGCCACCACCCACCATGATGATATTATTGTTGTTATTACTTGTTCTTGGGGTTTTCTTGGCAAAATCTCCACAGGGGTTTTGCCATGGCTTTTCTGGGGCTGAGAGTGTGTGCATGCATTTTATTTTTTATTTGTTTTAAAAAATATATATTTTATTTTTATTTATTTAGTTATTTATTTTTAGTGCTTCGGCCCCCCAGTTGTCTGAGGGACAGCAACCCGGCCCCCAGCTCAAAAAGGTTGCCTACCCCTGCTCTAGGAGGTCATGCAAGTAGAAGATTGCAGCATTTGAAATCTCCTCATTGCGTGTTTTGAGGTAGGGCATGACACAATACATACCTCATTTGGAACTACTCCTTGACTAATGCTGGAATTCTTTTGAAATCAAATATTTAAAACATTCACAAAAATTGTGTAAAGGTGTTGATTTTAAGAATGGTGAGTATATTAGGATTAAGAAAGGGGTAACCACCAATCTTGGGGGTGGGAGAATCTAAACATTAAAATACTTTTTAAAAAAGTATCTGGAGCTCCTCTAAGGGAAAAAAAATACTCCCCCACATGAAAAATAACCAACCTGGAGTAAAACAATTAAACAGGGTGTGTAGTTTTGAGCAGAACATCAAAGTTGTTTGGATATTCAAAATACTGATGACGTTAGGCTTTGCTATTTAAATAAAGGGTGAGGATAAAAATTTAATAAAGGGGCTCATAGAATGAGACAGGCATGGTTTGAAGATGAGTGACACTAATTCAAGAGCAAAATTATGGAGTGAGAAATTAATTGGATACCACAGAAATAAAAAAAATACTTTTCCCCTGAAGCTTTTCAACAAGATGTTGTCATGACAAAGTCAGGATGCATATGGACAAACACACTTTCAGCACTGGAATTTCTGTGTGAGCACGCTCACCACATTTTGTTCATACATGTTATTTTCTGTCGAGTTTCTTAGCGTGGGAAAGTTCTGCATCTGTGAGGCAGAAAC